GTTCTGCTCCCCACTCTGTCTCTGGTGAATCCTCTCACCACCTTTGTACCTCTGGCCTGTACCACAGTTCTGTATGCACAAATAAATAAATGTTAAAAAAAAGTTAAACACATTAATTAATATTCATCAAAGAAAAAATGTGGCTCAATTTTTATTTTTACTATAGTTACATCAAAATAGCTTTAAATATTAAATATTTAGATATTAAAATTAATGTTAGTTTAAATCAAATTTTAATTATTAAATATTAGTGTGTTAACAATGTTCATTCATATTAACATTGTTTTCACAACAATAAGACTTAAAGGAAAGGCTTTCCCATCATCAACATTCTAATCTCAGCCACATAATACAACAGTATTAATCAGAACTACCTACTAAATTACTTTTATTTTAATTTTTTTAAAGATTTATATATGCATACAAGAACTGGAACGTAGGCCAGAGGTATGGGGGCTGGGAGGGCTGAGGAACTATAGACATAGTGGGGAGCAAATGGGCAAATATACTGAAATACACTGCTGAGGGGATCACTGGGCTAGCAGGAGAGGTCTGTTATACCACACAGGTTAGTTCCTCCACCAGCAATCAAACTCATGCTGCAGTCATTGGCAATAACTTTACAGCACTGAGACTTTAAGCCCTGAGCCACCAGGGAGGCTCTCGAGAAATTAACTTTCACTACTTTATTGCCAATTTATCTTATTGTGCAACCTATTATCATTACTTTCACTGAATTTTACATGGCCATTTCAGAATGTTTAAATTTTAGTTACTCATTCCCTGCTTTATTTCACTTATCTTTGTATATATCTCCTTAAAATGGACTATTTGTGAGAAGAGATCGAATGATCAGTAAGAAAACGAAGGGATGGTAAATTGGCAGGACATTTTTCTTTTTAATACACAGCAAGATTTAATTTTAATTTTCTCAGCTGTGAAACTCCAATAGGACAAATTTAATTTATAGCACTCTTAAAACTTGTACAATGATAATAATGACTTGATTTTTATTTTTAACAAATGAATTTTATTTTTAAGATTTTTTTTCTCAAAATTGTTACAAGTCACCTAATATTATCTGACTTAGTTGAGTTCATTTTTGATTTATCTTCTACATTAAAATTGAAGGATTTTTTTTATAAATGACAAATTCTTATTTTCACCAAAATCTAAACTCTTCATTGTATTGTCAGAATTTGCATTCTTGACTGCTCGTCTAATTTCTACCACTGTACTGCTCTCTTCACCTTAAATTCGCTGTTTATTCATCTATTTTGAGTTTCATACAGTTTTCTGAACAATTATGCCATTTCAAACTTTTACAACCTTTTTCATACTTCTCCCTCTGCTCAGAATGCTCCACTCCCCACCTCTTCCACCATTAATCTTCTTAAAAAGTAATATTTTGTGGAACTCACTTCTTTATATACCTGTTAGAGCTCAAAAATGTTAATATTTTAATAATAAATGTTAATAAAGAAACCTCTAGATATTTAATCCATACTCATCTAATTCTTGTTAAAAAATCATTACAAAATCATTATTTTTTAACTTAAGTATTTATTTTTCCTTCTAATAGATCCAAATGAAAATACTTGCAGGAACTTCATTGTTTATATAATTATAGATAAGCTATTAAAACTAATTACAGTAAAGCTCAACAGAAATTTTCTGGAAGAACTCATTCTAAGATATCTGGCTATATACCTATCTTAGTTAAGTTTGTCTGTTTCTAATTCAGTTTATTATCAATAAAAAAGTAATGACTCCCATGCTCACTTCGGCAGCACATATACTAAAATTGGAACCATACAGAGAAGATTAGCATGGCCCCTGCGCAGGGATGTCGTGCAAATTCATGAAGCGTTCCATATTTATTGGAGCTGGAAAAGATCATGCTTAAGATAAGCCAGAAAGAAAAAGAAAAATACCGGGTGGTTTCGCTCATAGTAGGAGTATAATGGACCAGGCAAGAAAATAACAATAGTGAACAGCTATATACCAGAGACATTTTATGGGGGTAGAATGGGGAATGGGATCAAAAACAGTGTGGGGAGGGAAGTGCGCTGGACTATGGTGATGGCACACGGGTGACTTGGTAATGGGAAACCCGGGGATTGCAAATGAGATGGAAAAAGGCACAAAATGATGTAAAAATAAACTATTATTTAAAAAAAAACAACTAATGACTCCCAATATTGTTTCAATAGCTCATATCAATATTTAGGAATTTTGCCCTGAGTGACTCCCTACTACCACAAACCAAATTTCCTGGAGAAACTATTTAATTCTTACACATGTTACCAAGGTAAAATTGAATAAGATTGAATAAGACCTCCTGGTTAATATGTCTTTTTGAGTCTTCATTCTAACTCAATTCCTACACCTTGCCTTAATCAAATTCCTAATTGGTCTTTTTCTGTGTTGTGCCATTCCAATTTAGCCTTTACATTATTGGCAGGGTTATTTTTCTAAAGATGCTTTTAATGCACTATTTCCTGAACCTTCAGCTCACCCAGTACCCATTTACTTTGTAATTCTTGATTTGTTCAATGGTTTTTAAAGATAAAAATCCCAAAGCAACCTGCAGGGCACTGCCATATTTGGCTCTTGTTGACCTCTCCACCATCAACAGAAAGTTGACCCATAGAAAAGGGTCAGAAATGGCTAGGCAAGTCTGGGAAGAAAAGAGCAAAATCAAAATCAAGATAAAGTCTGCCATAGTCCACCTTCCCACAGGTCTCTGACCCACATCTGTTTCAACCACTCCAAGGGCCTAGAAATAAGAGTCCCTTCTTCACATGTCTCTCTTCTCCATGTGCTTCCCACAGGTCTCCTTCTGGCTCTCCATCCTTTCTTTCTCCTCAGACTCCTCTCCAGATTCTTCTCTTCTCTGCTCAGCTACACCCTCCTGTGTTGGGCAGGAAACCTGATACCTCCCCCTTTCCTGGGGACCACTCTACTAGGATTTATTTTTGTCAATGAACACCTTGCTCCATTATGTAATTTTAGATAACAAAAAAATACCTTCAGTGGAAAGTTCGCTATTTGCCACAACATATACACATTTGCTGTGAATAAGCAGTAGCATTTTGACATGATGTAGTAGTGTTTTTTTTAATTTTTTTTTTACGAGCTTTAAACTGCAGATCTTGTGCTAGGTACAGAGCATAGAATCCTGAACTAAAATGATATAGACCTGCACTACATGGAGCTCAAAATCAAATATTTTAATATATTCAATATGTTGATAAAAACTTTAAAAAGTAAGGTAAGGATTTTAATGAAAAGTGGAAAAGTCTAATGTTAAGAGTCTCCTCTTCTGGTCTAGAGTGTGTTTGATAGGGGTCTCATCTCAAAAACTCAAAAAATTTTGAGATGAGAGCAGAAAAGTGAGTATGAAAACTAGACAAACTGAAATCACAAAGAAATTTCCCATGCCTTCTTTGGAAAAAAGCACATACAAACCAAAAGCTCTGTGGAAGGAAAGACCTTTTGTAACAGGGTGGTCCCCAGGAAAAGGAGAGGTTCCACATTTTCTGTCCCACCCATATGGAGGGTGGAGCTAAACTGGGAGGAGAAATATGTAGAGAGGAGACTGAACAGGAAGGAAACAGAATGGCGTGCCAGAAGGTGACCCGAGAAAGGCACATGGAACAGAGAGACAAGTGAATAATTGGATCTTGTTTCTTGGTCCTGGACTGGTTCAAACAGATGTGGGTGAGAGACCTGTGTGAAGGTTAACTATAGTTCAGTTTATCTTGATTTTGATTTTGCTCTTTTCCTCCCACACCTGCCTGACCATTTCTGATACTTTTCTATGGGTCCCCTCCAGAAGGTGCTTTAGACTTGTCTTCAGGCCTTGCTTTTGGCCAATCCTTTTTGGGTAGACTTTTATCCATGAGGGGATGGATAACTTTGGGCGTCAGATTTATAAGCTACATTCTTTGTCTTTTCAGTCTTACATACTTATTACATTAAAATGCCTTAACATTAAAGGTCTTAAATATTTTGACTTGATGTGGTGGATGGCAGAAACTATTTAGGGTGGGAAGGTTTGGGGGTTCAGGGTGTCACTTTCCCTGACCTGTAACAAAATGATTATCTTTTCAGTTATATTCTTAAGTTTTAATTCTAAGAGCTCACATTATCCTCTGACTTTAAAAATGTATTCATAAATTCTCTCTCATAAAACTAGTTAATGAAAAGTAAACATAGAAAGTAGTATCAACTAACTGTTGAATTTCTTTGACTGTTAGTGAGTCTTCATAGGCCTACATCATATAAATCCACATGGTAAAGTGTGATTAAAAAGAAATTAAAAACTTCTGCAGAGTGGTAGAA